AAATGTGTAAATCTTGTCTTATGCCAACATATGCAGGGCACTGCATTTTGAACCAATTAGAGTTTCCATATACCCTTCAAGGGCAGCTCCATATAGAGCACATTAACAGCAGCCCAAACTGGAAATGAACAGGGCATGGATGACTGTGAGGAGGACACATTGGTCCACAAATTAGCGTAACTGATGCACAATTTGCAGTTACACAAAAAGCTTCCTCACCATGACCGCCACCTGTTCCTCAAGATTTCTAATGTTAAGTAACACAAACCTGCATGAGCAGCAGTCCCACGATGAATGCACTACCTTGGCAGTATCCAACCTCACGGTCTACTAGAGAATAAGCCTGAAAGATAGGAATTTTAAGCAAAAAAATATATATTTACAGCTCACAATTTAGCCATTAATTTATCTAAATTAATTAAACTAAAATTAAGCTAAAACTAGATGTGTACAACTGTATTTTAAAATATGCAGAGATTTTGGTGATATCTTGAATTTTAGTCAATATATTATTAAACAAGACTTCATGAACCACAGTTCTTTTTATCAGATGTATAAACTTAGCTATAGAATTTTTCTCACCATGAAAATATTTCAGTTATTAACTATGGGAAAGTAATGAATCTGAAACTGAATTATCTTGGACATTTGATATAATAGGAAGATATATGAGTGGAGATACAGTAGGGAGAAATTAAGATCAATATTTTTGAAAAGAAAGATAATAAATGAAAAATACTGTGGAATTAAGTAGCAGAAAGTTTAACTGAAGAAAGGTGCCACATATATTAACTGAGTGATGCATTTCAGGCAACTCTTGGGGAATTTAAGAATTTGTATGCTCTTTCTTTGAATGTGAGACACTCTGAGGAATTATGCAATACAAGGTACCTGTTTCTGGTGCATTCAAGTCTGTCTTTACTTCTGGTGACCATATGAATAGGATATATAAGGAACAAACTATGTTGTCAAAATTGTAATAAAAGATGCAAAAGCTTAAAAACATGTTTTGATTTTATTTTTCTTATATTTTTATCATGTCCTTTGTTTTAGAAACTCAAGAAGTTTCCCATGTTATTCTTGAAATCTGAGATATATCCAAAAGAAGAGAATATTTGTAACTCGGGGTTGAACTGTGGGATGTTTGCCGCTCTCTGAGCTTGGTTGTTTTCTTGCAGACATTTCATTTTCAAACTAGGTAATATCATCACTCCTAGTAGGCAATAGAGTTTGTTGTCATTTTATATACTAGAGGCCTGCCCTATCAGTGTTGATGGGAATGATCTTGGTGGTTCTTTGGGCTGCTTCCTGTTAGCTTGTTTGGCAATTCCTTGATTGGGTTAGTTTGTTTGATTGTTGATTTAATCTTAATCTTGGTGTTAATCTCTGCTCATCTGGGTGTTGATTGCTGGTAAGGGGGTGTTTGGGGCTTTATATTTCTTTTTTGGCTGTTGGATTGTCTCTTTTGAATGGTATGTAGATGTTGTTTATGTCTGTGTCCCTGTTGATGGCCAATTTGTCTGAGTGCCAGGCTTCCACTATAATTCAAAAAACCACTTTTTAATGGAACCAACAGTAATGATGATAAATACAGAATGTGATATCTTAATTTTCTTGCACATGTTCCTCTGCTCTAATTACAGACCCATTTCTATAATACCGATAGTAATAGCACTTAGACTTATATTCCACCCCACAGTGCTTTACAGCACTCTCTGCGTGGTTTATAATGTCAGCATATTGCCCTGAGCAAACTAGGCCCTCATTTTACGGGCCTTGGAAGAAGTCAACCTTGAGCCCCATCAGAATTGAATTCCAGGCTGTGGGCATAGTTTGCCTGCAAGACTGCATTCTAACCAATGAGTCCTATAAAATTCTGGAAACCCTTTATGGATTTTTTCTGACAGCAGGACTGAAATGTTAACAATTTGTGGATTTTCATATGGGTAAGGAATCGTTTATAGGAAGATGAGAAGCTTGCATGTAGTCTTATAGGAGGTGAAGAATTACTAAATTTCTATTGTGATGAAGAGCACCTGGGGTCTTTCCCTGCTTGCATCCCTCTACTATTCGCTTTTGTAGCAACTTTAGCAGGAAATGTGGAATTTTAAATAATGTTACTACTTGTAAATAAATGGTATCCCCCGGCAAAAAAAGTCATTTCTTCTCCTCTTTTTCTTTCTCTTCTTCCCTTCTTCCCCTCTTTTCTTGTACTTTCTATGCTTTCTTTTCCTTTCTGAGTTTACTTTGTTTTTTTTTTGTTTTTTTAAACCTTTCAGTACTATTGATATTTTTTTTAAATACATATTACATATTTATTACAGAAAAAGTATTTCCTTTTTTTTTTTCCAATAAAGTTTTATTTGGGTTTTCACACACAAAATACAAGTAGAACATCTTTTTTGAAAATAGCATGGTCCCGGGTTGAATTTCGTTATACAGACACAAAACTCAATTTCATGCTCCTTTTTGTATTCTGTTCCATATCTTATACTATTTTACATTTTCTATATAGTTTTTCCCCTCTTTTAATTTTCTCAATTTTATTTTGATTATCTCATCTCAATTCAAATTATTATATTTATACTTTTGTCTGTTCTGTTTCAATTTCATATTATCTTTTCTCATTAAACAAATTTTCTCCTGTAGTTACTAATTGTAGTATGACACCTTAATATCTTTTAATTACATCCATTCAACTCTTATTTAAACTTCAATATATACCTTAAGTTTATGACCTTCAATATAATATATAACTTCCAACTGAATTCTGCTTGGTACATTCTTATAATACACACGATATTCTTTAAAAAAAAAAAGATTGTAAATATATGCAATTATAAACCCTCATTCCATTCCAGTTCAGTTCTATCATTAATAATCTTAACATCTTTAACACTTCTTTTCAATTAAATATTATACTTTCTTAAAAACACATATAATCTCCATAATTAATTTTCCCCTTATTTCTCTTCACACGTTTTATAAATCATTAAATATACCTTTTGTTACATTTATTTATTGACAAGCATTCCACTGAATTATGATACCTATTTTATCAGACATTTTCATATTTTCTAAAATTATTTCTGCTTCTAATATAACCATACCATCTTATATACCTTTGCAGAATCCCCTTTTCCATTAAGTTTTCACCCATTATCTCTAAATAGGCCCTGTTTCTCTATATTTTGCTTCTGTCCTTTATAACTTCTTTTCCTTTCTTTCTCCCCTCTCATCTTCTCCCTCCCCTTTTTACCCCCTTGTCTCTCTAGTTCTAATTCTCTCTTCTGCATTTCCCTCTTCTGTTGCTTTCTGATTTTATACTTATTTTTCACTCTATTTTTGGGGGGAGTTGTTTTTCCCAATCTTAAACTTTCCATTCTCTTTCCCCCCCTTTCCTTTTTTCCCCCCATCTAAGATTACTTGTTCATTAAAGATGGCTTCTTCTTTGTCACAATCTTCTTGTTCTGAAGGCATTTCCTGTTGTTTCTCATAATTCCAAATCTCCATTTCTAAGAACTGAAATACGAAGCCAAAAGAACCTCTCCCTTCTTGTGCATTTTCTTTGTACTTTTTAAGCTCCATTTTCAGTTCTTCTAAAAGTGGAGCCATTTTAAACAGTTTTAAACAACCACCCGATTGATTTTAGTCATTCAAAACAATAACCAAGAATCCAGAAATCATCAAGTAATCCAGATAGTCCTGAGTTATATCTTCTTATTTCTTTTTCGACTTTCTCTTCCTGGGGTTTTTGTTGCGATATTTCAGTTAGAATGTATCTTTTGGAAGTCTTGTTGAGATTTTGCTGTAAGTTCTTTTTTAATTCCAGGCAGTCTCCTCCCTTCCAGATCCTATCCTTTTATTCTTTTTCTCTCCTTTCCTGTTTTCAAAAACTTTTAATTATCCAGAAATCTTTATTATCCCTTTGACTTTTTATTTTCAGAATTAAATGCCTATTGATGTCAAAGTGGATTTTTTTCCAATTTCTTGCTTAAGTCTCTTAGCTGTCAGTATAGGAAAAGGAGAAAACCAAATCTTTTCCCTTTTCTCTCTCCTTTGCAGCTTCAAAATCTTCTTAGGAAACAATGTTATTGTTTTTTAACAGTTTCTATTCCAGGGTATCTTATTTGTTGCTTTTGCTGTTTGACCCGGTCAACCAAAACTTTCTCTTCTTATCTTCCTCCTGCACATTCTTCTTTGTGGTGGCCATGTCTGACCACCGCTGCAACCGCCTTCGGGAAAGGGAGTAATGGCCAGCTGGGGAGGAGAGATGCGGCTCTCCTCAACCCTGCAGGCAGTCTCCCCCCTCTTCACCACCTCTACGGGGTGGCTTAGCCCCGAAACCAGCCGGCTTGGGGTGCTCCAGCGGCGAGCACGGATCGAAGCCTCGCAGAGACGAGGTTTCGGTCTGTCGCTGAAGAAGCTCAAACCCACAGAAAAAGTATTTCCAAGACTACCGATATTGATTTAGTAGGAAAAACCTACAATAGTACTATTGTTCATGAGAGACAATGATAAAGAGAAGAGTGAAAGACAAAACAATAATATAGGACATTGCAAATATTCACAGATAGATTGGATATATGCATACATTAATCACAACAAAGAAGGAAAAATTCTGGATGTTCTAAATAACTAAATAACTATAATCAAATGGGAGATGACTTAATCCCCAATGGTACCTAACACCAATTATACAGTGTGAATGTTGCTGAACCACATGAAATTATACATTGAGGTGTAAATGAAATATTGCCATGAAAATTCAAGAATCACATGGGGAAGGGGAATTGGTAAAAAGGAAACAAGCCATAGAAAGAGTTTTACTAAAACAAATAGGACAGTTTGAGTGTATGTGTTTCCAATCACAGAAGGCCATTGGGTGATTTTGGGCCACCTGCACTGTCTTAGCTCAGATTACTTCCCAGAATTGTTATGAAAAATCACAGAAGAGTGAGCTATTTCATCTACAGAAACTAGTCAACTCATTAATTATGTAACTGTGAATATATAAAACCAAAATGAAATGGGAGTGTGATAGGCCTTCAGAAATTTTCATCAGGCTTATTAGTTTAAAAAAAAAAGCCAAGGACACACTGAGAGAAGATTCTGGGAATTTAAATTCCAGCACTCCTGAGGGCCCTACTTTTGAAAAAACTAATTTTATAGTATGTCAGAGGCTGCAAAAGAAATATCAAAGAGATGACTCTGCCTCATTTGTAGCTATTATACAACAATTCATTTTCTAAATCAATCTCTGCATTGATCTTTGCTGCATATGCAGTCTTAAAAGGAAAAATAATTTATTAGAATAAGACTATTTTTCCAATTAAATTCCAATACAATTAACATGCAAAACAGTTTTAATATGATCTGCAAGGATAATTATCGATCTAGAAATATTATAAACATCAATCAAAGAGATGCCAAATGAAGAAAGTTGACATTCTAGATAACAAAAACTCGTTTGATTTTAAGTTGAGATGCTGATGTTAATTTCATGAAATAGACCTCTATTCCATATAAAGGGATATACATTGTATGTAATTTTGACAAGAAAAGGGGTTGTCTTAAACTTGCCTTCATAACATTGAAGAGAACCTCCTGGCCCAGACTGTCTTGCCCCTTGAAGAACTCATGTTCGGGATATGTTCTGGCAATGTCTCTTCTGATTAACTTTTCACAAGGAGAAGACATTTTCAGCAACTCTGAATACTGATTCTTCACAGGCATGTCTGTGGCACTGCACAGAAGCTGCCAAACAATTGCTCGGAAATGGTGAGGGATTCCTTTCCTTATGAGTTCCTAAACAATGGAGAAAAAAGACTACAAGATACTCTAAGTGATATTATGCAAAGCTGATTCACACTTCAAGTATTTTCCATATTTCTATAAAGGGATACGGTCAATTTTAAACTCTTGACATAAACTAAGAGGAATACTGGGTACAATAGTGTTATTGCATCCAAAATTACAACACATCAGTAAGTTATCTTAATGAAGAGTTTCTAAATTAAGGTTTATCTGAATCCACAAAATAAACATTCAATACCTTAATCAACTGGATTTTAGAAAACAATTTGTTTCTCCTCTGGTTTTTGCCCTCAGCTTTATAGAATTCTTCCATCACCATTTCACATGCATTTGTTGCAAAGAGCCAGTAGTCAGGTAATACACTTTATTGTTACATTAAAATTTTTCCCTCACTGCCTTTTTTGTCCGAGTCCATAAATATAATTAAGAAATACACAATCAAAAAAGGAATTATTGGATAAGATGCAAGTATAAGATGCAACAAATGTAAACATGTCTATGACTTTCAAGTCTTATAAAATATGTCTACCACTAGAGAAGCAATTATTTTCCTCACCTTGAGTAACTTCTCTTTTCTTTTCCGCCATTCTTCCCATTCATTGACAATCCTTCCCCATAAGATCCAGGTATCTTCTTCAAGATGGCTCAGATTAGATGATGCAGAAGAACTGGACACCAAAGACGACCCGCTATTCCTTCGTGAGCCATTCATAGAGCGTAATGACTTTGAATCAGCTTCCAAAAGCCTTGAAAAATGTAAAAAAAAAAATAGTTGTCTTCTTACCAGTTACATAACTAGGTTAGAATACAACAAATGCTCCAGAGCATAATGAAACTTCCACGTAAACAAGCTTCTTCAAACATTTCAACTAAGAGGCATTATGACACTTGTAGAGATTAGGATTGCCAATCAACAAAGGGACATTACAAGTCCCTTGTAATGTTGAATATTCATCAGAAACTCTTCCAATTCTGAACAGGAATGGAAGGATACATGCATAAATTTGTAATTTATGCAAATTATTCTGTTTGAGGTGCAGGATAGAGAAAATATGACAGAACATGGCATACTTTTTAGTTGTAAAAGAATTTTAATATATATTTAAAATCAAGGCTATAGAGAAACATTTCTATCTTTAGACACATTCTGGTTTTATCAGTTAAATTTGAATGGAAACTGTATTCTGTGATAAAACAAGAAAATTAAGGGTCCCAGTTTTTTGCATTATTGTTAATTGATTAACTATCTTGGCAGTTGTATGTATTTTTGGATATTTTTTATTATTTTATTGTTTTTAATTGTTTTATCAGTGTTAGAGTTTTAGAATTCTAAGTCATCCAGAGTCACTTGGCTGAGATGGGCAGTGAAAGAAATTGGATAAGTAAAATTAAAGCAAACTGAATTTAGTCATTTTTTACAAATCATTTTCAATTTCATTTTGTACAAGGTTGTACCATGTACCAGCCTGAAAGGATTCTTTCACCTTTTAGCCAAATTTTGTACATTTATAATCAAGAGCAGTCTGTACAGTACTATACTTCAATAAGCATAGAGCAACATGAATGTGTTTCAGATTCTCACTACATTCATTGTATAAGATTTTTCACTACAATAAAGCATTTGATGTTACTTTGTCACAACATGATCATATAGCAATCAATTAAGATATTAATAGAAATAAGCTAACTCTTTTACATGTCTTAAACAACTGTCAAATCCAGGCATACCAATTAACTGAAGGCAAAGTCAATCTAGGATTCCCACTAATAGCTGTATTGGTACTGGATCTGGATCTACTTAAGCCAAATTCTATTCTTAGTTTGAATGGAACTTGAGCATCATCATTATTATTAATATTAATATAAATTATATATATATAAATAGGTAGACATTCATCCATCCCCATTCCTTCCATGCCTGATTTAGCATTTATGCTTTAGCATCTATCTCATGGGAAATACAATAATTGATATAAGGGAAAACATTTAATTCCTTTGGAACAAGTATCATTTGATTTTGTGAATGAGAAGTAGAAATATTCCCAAATTGCACCTCTGGCTATCTTTTGATATTCTGGAGGAATTGAAGCTGAACATGATAGAAAGCTCAAGGAGACTACAAAATGACTCTTAATCATTAATAAGAGTGTTCATTCTCTACAGAGATTGTTCCATATGATTAAAGTTAATTTCTAAATGAAACTGCTGGTTATAAATGGGAGGGCTGACCTCATATGTGTTACCAAAACTTAGCTGAACATCAGTAGATGGGTGGGGGAGTTCCCTCTCTATAATACGCCGTTCTAGATTGCCGAGATAGGGTTGAGGCACAGCTACTGAATCTCTGGCAGCATACAAACTAAGTCCAGTTTTTGTCCCATAGCAGTGGCAATCTGATATTGTGGGATGTTGATATCAGGATCATGCATAGATCATTCCTGTCAACTAGGTAGCCCAGACCAAGAAAACAACTCCCCAGAAGGACTAGAACTACTACTGAGACTGGATATAATAACAGAATCTTCCAAGTCTGAATGTGCTGTACCATTGGTGGGATTCAAATTTTTTTACTCCCAGTTCTGTGTGCGTGGCATGGTGGGCATGGCAGAGAAAGGATACTGTAAAATCTCTATTCCCATCCCACTCCTGGGGGAAGGTTACTGCATTCCTTCCCCACCCCACTAACCTGCTTTCCAGCTCCATTCTCCTGTGCAGGGCAACAAAAGAACACCCAGCCAATCAGCTGGGATGTGTGAGGCAGAGAATAGATGGGGGCGGGGCCAGTCAGAGGTGGTATTTGACAGTTCTCTGAACTATTCAAAAATTCCGTGCCAGAACTGGTCAGAACCTGCTGAATACCACCTCTGTGCTGTACCCTAAATTAGGAAAATGTCTGCCTTAGCCATTTCTAAATACTATCTTGTTGCTCTGAACTTAAAATGTTTCAGCCTGTTTTACCTAGCTAATGATTCCTGCATACCTTCATCAAGGTCATCTTCCTTACTAACTCTCCTTTAGCCTTGGGAATTCTATGCACCTATTCACCACTGTGCAAAAAGTGGGCCTGATTTGATTTGATTTGTTCCAAGCAACTGATTAACATGAAAGCATTCCAGAGGGAACTTCATGGTTTTGTTGAAACTTGGTTGCATGCCCTTAGATGTAGCAACAACAGTCTTAAATTGGATTAAATCTGTGCAGACTTTGTGGTTTTGGACCTTGAAGTACTCCTTGGTTTTCACAAGTACCCCAGGAGATGAAAGGACACAAGACATACCCCAAGCATCACTGGAGGGAAACAAAGTGTGATCCAAACCAAGTAGATGAGAACATGGTTTGCCGTAAACCATTAAAAGTGGATAAACTTTAAATCTGTTAAAGAGCTGAGCAGCAGCCCTTTTGGACAACTAGTTTCCTTATTGGTAAAGAGGGGCGAGGGGAGCCCTTGTGATATCACTTGAGGATTATTCTAGATATCTGACAGATCAAGTAACTCAAATTTGCTTAGAGGTGAACTCTGGCTGGACTGTGGAACTGACAGAGGCATGGGAAGGGATGGTTCCATTTCTTCTGAAAGAAGCGGTGATCTGTGTCTTCCTGAAGAAGCCCTCCTTGTAGCCAACTGGATAGTTTTTGTCCAGTTTCCAACCTTCCCTTTTTAGGAAGTAGAGTACCTGGACGTATCCCGTTGGGTTTCAGGTCAGGCTGTATTACTCAGATGGCACCGAGTATACTAGATGGCTAATAATGGAGTGGTGGATCCATCCTATCCTTCTGATTCTTTTGGAAGCTTTAAATATTGACAATGGCATTGATTGTGGTATTATTCTGAAATTGAGAAGAGTGGAGCAGAGTTCTGCAGTGGTTCTCCTTTGGAGGTCAGTCCCAGTTGGTATAGATGGGAAAAGGAGAAGTCTAGTCATGATATGTGGGGTGCCATAGGCTCAACTCTGCCTGTTCCTATTCATCATTTAC